ACACCGCGAAAACCTGAGAAAACATATATATATATATAGAATAAGTTTTCTATTTTAGATTTTTCCATTGTTTTGTGTGTGTGTGTGTGTGTGTGTGTGTGTGTGTTTGTTAAATAATAAGACTGAATTTGAGATTTCAAGTGGTTTGGCATCCAGAAGGATTTTGCTTAACGCATTGTAAGCCACCCTGAGTCTCCGGAGAAGGGCGGCATATAAATCAATTTTTAAAAAAAAAAAAAAAAAGATGGATTTGGCTCACACGTTTGTTTCATTTCAGAGGAGCAAATAATATTTTGTGCCTTTTAAAATGAAAACGCCGGGGCAGTATGCCAGACGAGATGTCAAATCCCAGGCTTCTTGGAGAGAGAGTTTAAAAAGTCCGAAGTCAAGTTAAATGCACTTCAAGTAAACCAGAGAGGAGAATATTATCCAAGGCTCAATTGACTGTTCGTAAGTTATTTACTTTCAAAGAAAGCGTAATGAAAGGATGCTTTCCAGGTGTTGCAAATGGAGTCTAGAATCCCCCTCTTGGAGACTATAGGTCACCCCTCCAGTTTTCCCATAAAACGCAAGGACGTTTTCTGAGCTAAAGCATCCTTAATTGGAGTCAAGGGTGTACTGAGGAAAGAATGAAACACATAAACATGCCATCTTGGAATTCCACCCTTGAGGTTTTTCTATTCCCTGAACGATCTGCGTCTCGCATAAAAGAATGAACCAGAGATTGCGTATGTAAATATTGGCAGCTTTTGGGAAAATCTTTGCAACCCAAAGTCAGAAGCAAATGACCACTGCCTTCATTTCGTCTCCAAAGGGGCTTGTTTACACGGCTCTGAATCTTCGGGCAAGGAACAAAAGCAGATGTGAATTGAGTTTCCTTAGGGCTCGGATGGAAAAAGAAAATCCAGAACCAACTCATCGGTGCTTGCTCAGATTATGATACATACTAATACTAACACAGGTTGAAAAAAAAAATCAAAATTGAAGCGAACCCTTCCCCTCCCCCAATATCATCATCATCAAACTTTTATTATTTTTCATTCCAGTTGAGCAATTTTATCAGCTATTTTAAGGGACTGTCCTGTCCTAATTTAATTTCTATGGTTAACACAATATAATATTCTTGTAGCTGTATACATTGATGCCCAAATGAGTAGGACTCCTAGATCCCTCGCACAGTTACTACTATTGAGCCAGGTACCACCTATTCTACACCTGTGCATTTGGTTTTCCTTGCCTAAATGTAGAATCTGACTTTTTCTCGCCATTGAATTGCGTTTTGTTGGATAAGGCCCAGTATTCTAAGTCTGTCTAGATCAGGAATTTCCAACCTTGGCAACTTTAAGACTTGTGGAGTTGAAGTTCACAAATCTTAAAGTTGCCAAGGTTGGAGACCCCTGGTCTAGAGCCTCCTTCATTGCTAAAGGTTAAACCAGAGGTGGTATTTAGCTGGTTCAGACCTGTTTGCTCGAACCGGTAGCGGAAACCCGCCCACCCGCCTCGACTCTATGCCATCCTATTTAGGCACATTTTTGAGGCTGGGCGCATGCGCGGAAGCCGGGAGTGTAAGCAAAGTGCATGCATGGAAGGCCATGCACATGCATGGAAGGCGCATGCATGGGGGAAGTGGGCATGCAGGTGGGGTGAACCGGTGGTAAGGAAATGTGAAACCCACTTCTGGGTTAAACCATAGTTTGGAAAACAGTCACATTCATCCCCCCAAACATAAGAGTTTATTTTGGTGGTGCAAAAAAGGCCTTGGTGGTGCAGCAGACTAAAGTACTGTTAAGTAGCACTTAGCTGCCAGCTGCCTGCAATTACTGTGAGTTCAAATCTCACCAGGCTCAAGGTTGACTCAGCCTTCCATCCTTCCGAGGCAAGTAAAATGAGGACCCGGATTGTGGGAGCAATAAGCTGACTTTGTGTAAAAAAGAACACTGCTTGGGGGGGCCAAAAGCCCTACTAAGCAGGTATATACAAAAAGTATGAAGGCTATTGCTTAACGCATTATAAGCCGTCCTGAGTCTCTGGAGAAGGGCGGCATATAAATTGAACCAATAAATAAATATTTGCTTGTGCACCAAGCTCATCAGAGATCATCTTTCTCAACTTTTTTTCAATGTGAGTGTCAGAAAGGACCTTCTGATGTGGGGGAAACTAGTAGGTTTCCCCAGAGGAGATGCAACCAACCTTCACCATCTGTTTCATTTGTCACTAGGTTCAAACATGTGTTGACAAGCTTTCCCTCCTTACATACTGCTTCCCATAGCAGATTGTCCTGATGCTGAAATTCATATTTTTAGCTAAGGCACCAGTGGTGGGTTTCAGCCGGTTCTGACTGGTTCTTGCAAACCGGTGGTGGAAATTTTGAGTAGTTCGGAGAACTGGTAAATATCACCTCTGCCTGGCCCCGCCCCCAATCTATTCACTGCCTCCCAGTCTCCCAGCTGATTAGCTAGAAGGAAAAAATCAGGGCTCGCTTTTCAGCGGGGAGATTGCTTGACAAAGAAGAGAAAAAAAAACTGATAGTAAAATTTTTTGAAAACCACCAGTCTAAGGCACTGCTTATAAATCCCCCCCACCTCCATAGAAGAGTTAAGCGTGTAACAAATTCACCAAAATAAGACCGTATCTACATTTCCCTCCTTCTAAAAGTTTGAGAGCTCTGGTTTTCCCGCTGTGAATTAGACTGCACACTATCTATATACCACTCAAAAGAGACAATCAAAAAAGCCCAAAAGGAAAGAAAAAAAGACCAAAACACTTGCTCACCTGCAATCAGGGGTGGGCTGTTGGGGGTTCGCAGGAGTTCGGGAGAATCTCTAGCTAAGTTCAGAGGTTCTGTGCAGTTCAGAGAACCCCCAAATCCCAGAATTAACACTAGACCAACAATCAAGGATTAAACCATACCCCAATCAAGGAGACAAACACGCTAACAGCAAACAAACAAGGAACCACCAAGAACAGTCTCACCAATACTGACAGGGCAAGCCACTAATATATAAAAATAAGAGCAAACCCCACCCTACTTCTAATACTGATGATGTTACCTAATTTGGTAATGAAACATCTGCAAGAAAATAATAACCAAGCACCTCATTATTATATTCTCAGGATCTGATTCCAAGTTAAAGGTTCTTCTTAAGCTTACTATGATGACCAGAAACACTCTTAGTCATTTTACATCTATAACTTTGTTTTCCATTCAAAATTTAAACTGCCCACTTCCCAGCACATTTTCACAGGTGCTGAGATCTTTGTATGGGAGAACAAAAGACTTGGGAGAAGAACAAAATGCTAACCGTAATAAATACATTTCCAAAACACAGGTCAGAGATCACCAAGAATCAACTTAGCAAGGAGCCTTGGAACCGTTTACTTCTCTGGAACTTTATGTTCAAGTCCCAGACTGTTTTCCAGAACTCCAGGATCTTCTCCTAGGTCCTAGGACAGTGGTGACGAACCTAAGGAATGTGTTCCAGTGGTGGAACATAGAGCCCTCTCTGTGAGCACACGCGCTGTTGCCCCACCTCTGTCATGCATGCGCGTGCGCCTCCCACTGGCCAGCTGGTCTTCAGGTCTCTGATGCGCATGCATGGGGCTCATGCACACATGCGCAGGGCTCATGCACACATGTGCAGGACTCATGCGCACATTTACCCGCCCCTTGCAGTTTGGGCACTCGATGCCTATAAGGTTTGCCCTCACTGTCCTAGGAGATTATAAGATAACCTAATATCAAAAGGGATCATTTGTGTCTCCTGTGCACCTGCTTATAAAGCATAGAGTCCTTTCTTTGGCTGGTGTATTTGCTACCATCTGTACAATTTCCACCGAAAAAATAAACCAAAGAGAAGTCCCTCTCTCTATATGCAAATCAAGTTCACTGTCATTTGTTTCTGCTGTGGAATAACAGAAAACACTAACTTTCACCTTTTAAAAACAAATAGAATGTGTTTGCAATATTTCCTGTACACCAAAGGGAATTTTTCCATAGACTCTTAACAAGGAGTCCTTCCATCAATATTATATATTTTAAGGGAAGGATGGAAGGAGGGAGGGAGGGAAGGAGGCAGACAGGCAGGAGGGAGGGAGGGATAGAGGGAGGGAGGGAAGGAAGGAGGGTGGGAAGGAGGGAGGGAAGGAAGGACGGTGGGAGGGAAGGAAGGAGGGAGGGTGGGAGGGAAGGAGGCAGGTAGGCAGGCAGGAAGGAGAGAGGGAGGGTGGGACAGAAGGAGGCAGGCAGGAAGGTGGGAGGGAGGGAGGGAAGGAAGGAGGGAGGGTGGGAGGGAAGGAGGCAGGCAGGCAGGCAGGCAGGCAGGAAGGAAGGAGGGTGGGAAGGAAGGAAGGAAGGAAGGAAGGAAGGAAGGTGGGAGGGAGGGAGGGAGGGAAGGAGGCAGGTAGGCAGGCAGGAAGGAAGGAGGGAAGGAGGGAGGGAAGGAAAGAAGGAAGGAAGGGGAGGAAGGGCAGGCAGGCGGGCGGGTAGGTGGGTGGGAAGGAAGGAAGGAAGGAAGGAAGGAAGGAAGGAAGGAAGGAAGGAAGGAAGGAAGGAAGGAAGGAAGGTTATCCTTTTCCTATGCTTTTTGTATTACTGATTTGTAAAAAGACTGACTTGAAAGGAAAAGTACTGAGATGAACGCTGACAGAAACTGCAAATGAAATATGCTTCAACATTTTTCTTACCAAGAAAGTTGCTCAAGATTTCTTGAGCTCATCAGTGACACATATCTGTTAAGAAATACTACCAGTCATTGTTTCTTTGCTGAAATAAAGAAACTAATAGATTCATCTGTTGCCAATAGAGAACTGTTTGGAGCTGGTTTAAAATAAACAAAATTCTAATTTAGCCAAGTATTCTTATGGGTGGTACATCGTCCTCAGGCAGCCAAATGACTGAACAGAGCTGGAATGAAGTCTAATGGTCAAATAAAAAACGCTTACCCTTTATAGTAATTCACAACAATATGGTTTTGCATAAGCATCGCTGGATTTCTGTTTACCTCTGTGGTGGGTGAGGTTCCTTGTTCCGGAAGGCAGGGGTGTGTAGGACATCTGAGCTGAGGTAGAAACATCTTCCATGGAATCCTGCAACAATAAAACTGGAATAATTAATATTAAAGTCTATACAGATAGTCGTCAACTTACAACACATTTGTATAGTGACCACTCAGTTCCAACATCAATCAGAATCAATCAATCAATCAGAATAAAGCATTCCAAGCATTCTGCTCCTTTTCAGGATAAAGGCAGATATCTTCATAACTTGAAGGTTCAATGTTAACCTGGCAAACTACGGTTGCTTTGTATCGATCAGGTGGATGCCTTTCCCTAGTAGATCTCCTAGGTCAGTGATGGCTAACCTTTTTGCCATCGCATGCCAGGAGAGGGGGCGGGGGAGGGTCGTGTGCGCACATGCCCACGCGCATGTGTGTGCAACCCCCTCCCCCTTCCCCTCCCCCGCTCCTGGCACATGATGGCCTGGTAGGTCCGTTTTTCTTTCTTACCTGGTTCCAAATCCTCTCTGTGTATCTGGGAACAGCGAAAACAGCCTTTCCCACTCCCTTGGAGGCCCTACAGAGGCTGAAAGGGCCCATTTCCCAACTCCCGGTGGGACAGGAAGTGACATTTTTTACTGTCCCCAGCCTCCAGAACCTCTCTAGGAGTCTCTAGGAGCCTCTCTAGGAGTCTCTGGAGGCTGGGGACAGGAAAAAATGTCACTTCCTGTCCCACCGGGAGTGGGGAAATGGGCCCTTTCAGCCTCCGTAGGGCCTCCAAGGGAGTGGGAAAGGCTGTTTTCACCATTCCCAGATACACAAAGAGGATCTGGAGCCAGGTAAGAAAGAAAAACGGGCCTTCCCCACCCGCCCCACGCCCTCCAGAGGCAGGAAACAGCCTGTTTCCCTACTTCTGGTGGGCCCAGAAGGCCCGAAAATCAGCTGGCCGGCGCGCGCATGCACCCCAGAGCTGAGCTGGCGTGCCCACTAATATGGCTCCACGTGCCACCTGTGGCACGCGTGCCATAGGTTCGCCATCACGGTCCTAGGTAATACAGGACTTACAGCAGATGGTTCATCCAACTCCTCCCCTAAAACTATCTCCTCTAAACCTACTTCCTGTTCTTCCTCCTTGATAGAGGATTCTACATCATCTAAATCCTCAGGAATATCATCAGGAATATGATGCTTTATACTGACAGAATCATTATCATGTCTATAATCTGCACGCTCTAGTTTATCCCATCCTTCATGCTCTAGAAATTTAGCACTTGCACTACAGTAAACACTAGTAGTTCCCTGTGCCCAAAATCTAAAAGACCTATGATTTGATTCATAGCCAACGAAAAACATTTTTCTGGCTCTTTGTTGATCCTTTCTCCTTAAATTAGATGGAATATGTACCCAAGCTGGGGTTCCAAATGTGTGTAAGTAACAAAGATTTGGTTTCCTCTCCCATGCCATAAGGTGAATGGTATTTCACCTGTAGAGGAATGAACCACATTGTTTAACACATGGTTAGCACACATAACAGCCTCACCCCATAAATTTTCAGGCAAACCAGAATCTGTCAACATACTTCTAGTCATGGCTTGTAATGTTTGACCTCTTCTCTCGATATACGAATTACGTTGTTCTCGTCTGTATGGAGCAGACGTTTATGCTGGATCCCTGCATCCTGCAAAAACTTTTCCAGCCTTTGGTTGGTAAATTCTGTACCATTATCAGTCACTAAGCATTTAACCTTAAATTTCTGTTTCCTTTCCACAAAAGGTAGCCAGTTGTTAATATGCTGGAATGTTTCACTTTTTGTTTTCATTAGATAACAGAATCCGTATCTTGAATAATGGTCTACTATGCTCAGAATATAGCAGGCACCTCCTATGCTAGTTTTTTTGGGTCCAATTAGGTCTACAAACACTACCTCTAATGGATTTTTGGTTTTAAAACCATTAACACAGTTTGCTGGTGTTACCCTATTTTTTTGCTGACTACAGGCATTGCAATTTAGATATTTACTACAGGCTTGTAGTTTTATCCCTTCAGATAACTGAACTGTTTTCTTTAATGTCCTGAAATTTAAATGCCCAAGTCTCCGGTGTAACAGATGAATACATTCATCATGTGGTTTAACATTCTTATAAACAGACTTAGATTTAGCCACCAATACTGGGTTACCCCTTAAAATAAATAAATCATTTTCTAAACTTGCAGTAACAACCTTGCCATCTTTCTCAATAAAACACTTATCATTTTTAAATGTTACTGTAAACCCAAATTGCAATAATGATTTAACAGATAATAAATGGAATTTTAACCCAGGAATATATAACATAGGCAATGGTTCATTACTAAATGACCAACGAGCAACACCCTCTCCAGCTACCTTAACCTTCCAGCCATTTGCTAGTATAACATGTTGGTTACTCTTCTCCATTTTAACAAAAAAATTTCTATTTCTAGAAATAGATTGAGAAGCACCACTGTCAACAACCCAACAATCCTGGTTAACATCAGTAGTTGAACTGGATATAGCTAAATTACAACCCTTCTTGGGTCTAGTATTGTCCCTAACAGACATTTTCTTATTCTTACAATACTTAGCTATATGCCCTTTAGCCCCGCAAGCAAAACAACGTTTTACAAAATAGGCAGTTGAGTACATTTTTCCTTCTTTTGGTTGTGGCACTCTTAACTGATCCCTTTCTTGTCTTCTTTTGGATTCTTCCAATAACCTCCCGGTTATGCCAGCCAATGTCAGTTCATCTCTGGACAAAACCTCTAACGAAGAAACATAGTCATAATAACTATTGTCCAATGAAGAAAGAATTATATAAACTTGTTGTAGTTCTGAGAACACAAGTTCCTTTTCATGCAGCTCCTGGAAAATTCTGGTCATGGATTCCAAATGAGCCATCATATCTCCACCTTTAAGAAGATGTTGTTTAAATAATCTCCGTGTGAGATAAATATGAGCACCCACAGAGTCACGAACATATAGTCTCTTCAACTTGGTCTAACACCTAGCAGCAGACTCTTCGCCACGAATATGGACAAGCTGCTGGTCACCCAGTGTTAGTCCAATAATGCAAAGAGCTCGTTCATTTTCTCTGTTAAACTTGGCTAATTTCTTCTCATCTTCCTCATTAGCAGGATTCCATGCTGTTACATCCGGTGGATTATTAACTATGTCCCACAGTCCTTCTCTACGCAGAAGTAGACTACATTTTGTAGACCAGGATACATAGTTTGTTCCATCCAGCCAGGTTATCATGGAAAAATTTGCTGCTTGTTCAAGTTCCATCTTCACTTGGATTGTTTATCACAAACACAGAGAAACGTTGCTGAGAGCAATGAATAAGAGTTATGCAAACTGGTTTATCAAAAGCTTACTTTATAGTAGAAAAACAGTCTCATAGTCTTTAAACAAATTCCAAGTCTTTGCCAGTAAATCAGTCCAGTAGTTACAGATATCTTCTTACCAAACAAACATTAGTTAGTTAGAATAACAAACTCACTCTGGTTCACAAACCACGATGGCAGCAGATCCATCAAACCATGATTAGCAGATAGCAACTCCTCTCAATGGCAGCATATCATACTCTGGTAGCATATCACATCAGCTTCATACACAATGGCAGCATATCATAGCAGCAACTGAACACGTTACAATACCTTGCTTAAATACTCTCACAACCAGGATTACCTAATTACAGCATGACTCAGCATTAAAGCCTTAAAGTTACACAATAGATATTCATATTAAAGTCACAGAACACATATATTGTCTGGACAACTTGTTAGGCTCAAACCATAACCTAACAGAGCTGGAAGGGATGTCTAGTCTTGGAGGTCTTCTAATCTAAACCCCTGCTCAAGCAGGAAACCCTATACCCATGATGGCATGCCAGAGGTGGCATCAGAGCCCTCTCTGTGGGCATGCGCACTGTCGCCAGTTTTTCTGGGTTCCTTGGCACGCATGCGTGCCAGACAGCTAGTGTAGCATACATGCGCATTGGCCAGCTGCTCGTACATGAAGACCAGCTGGCTGGCGCACATGCCAGAACCCAGAAGAGTGCAGCTGTCCGGTGCGCATGCATGCAACAGAATCTGGAAGAGCAGATGGTCGCTGCACGCATGAGCACTGGCCATCTGCTCTCTTCCAGGTTTTAGCGCTCCAGCACGTACGCTCCAGTTTCGGCACTTGGTGCCGAAAAGGTTAACCATCACTGCCCAATACCATTTTAGACAGGTAGCTAGCCAGTCTCTTCTTAAAAAAACCCTTAAAAACAACTTCTGGAGGAAATCATTCCACTGGTTAATTGTTCTCACTGTCGGGAAATTTCTCCTTAGTTCCAGGTTGTTTCTCTCCTTGATGAGCTTCCATCCATTGTTTCTTGTCCTGCCTTCTGGTGCTCTGGAAAATAAATTGTCCCCCCTCTTCTTTCTGGCAGCCCCTCAAATACAGGAATTGTGCTATCTTGTCACATCACTGAAAAAAAAGTGACTTATGACCATTTTTTGTAGTTCTGACCGTTGCTGCAGTTTCCAACATCACATGATCAAAACTGAGACACTTGGCAACCGGTTCGTATTTACGACGGTTGCAGTGTGAACGGTAATCATGAGATCCCCTTTTGTGACCTTCTTGTGAACAAAGTCAATGGGGAAGCTGGATTCACTTAGCAACCATGTTACTCACTTAACAACTGCAGTGATTCTCTTAACAACTGTGGCAAGAAAAAGTCATAAAATGGGGAAAAACTCAATCACTATCTTGCTTAACAACAAAACTATTGGACTCCTTTGTGGTAATAAGTGTCAGTGTATAAGAAATTATGAGCTGGGATAGCCATAACAATAAGCCAGCCAATGGGAACTGTTTGGTGACTAAGAAACAGGATCTATTGTGAGCCATGGGAACTGACTCAGAGCATGGGCATGGATTAGCTTGACTGATCTGTATATATATAAGAGTTGGTCTGTCCTTGCGTTATTGCTTCTGTGATTATGTGCTTCCATGTTTCTGTGCTTCTGGATTCTGAGTTCTGGTCCTGGCTTCTGCTGCATGGGCATTGTATACATGCATCA